GTGACAGCCATGATAACGTATCTCTTCCGCAAATTCATGTAGGTAGAGGATTTTTTAAATTACCAATAGCATGATACCTATACAAAAAAATATATCTAATGAGACCAACAATAAGAAAAATCGGTATGACTCTATACTAATTTTACCTAATTCTGACCTCAGAATTACGTTGTAAAAATCTTTGAGTGAGGTCGCTAGAACTCTTCAATCTGACTCGAAGTCGGATTCCGACGTCTACGTGACCCTTTATTTGTTCACCAAATTGGTGTAACTCTGAGTCGGCATGTGGTCAGATGTACGTAGTGGGCCGACGTCAGGTGTAGTGGTATTACGTCCGTGCGACGATAAAATGCTAGTTGGGAGGATATAAAGATAACGAGTTATTGACGTCTTCAATGCAACGTTGAATTTGGACAATTTGGTACAATATTATGACGTCCAATTTACGATTTTTATCTTACCTTACTTTATGATTGGTGTATTAGACGACGTTTGAAAAATGTTTCGAGGTCACAAGCATACAAGAGGACGACGGATTGACGTCATCAATTTAAAGTTAACACTGGTTTTAATTTATTACGTCAAAATCAAGTTAGATAAAGGTCCGATTTCTACACCAAATATTAAGGACGACGGCACGACGTGATTTTAACGAAAAATCATTGACGTTCACTTATCTGCATCACTGTATCTGCACTTTTGGCGACGTTGCATTTGGTTAATACGTTGTCGCAGGGATATATTATGTAGGTATGTGCTACTTGGGTTAGGTGGCTACATTAGTCGGAATGATCACCCTATTGCATATTGGTCTATGTCACTTGATTCATCTGCTCAGAGAAGTTATGCTCATATGGAAAAAGAGTTATCAAGTATAGTTTTGGGCTGTTAACATTTTCATTATTACCTGTATAGTCGACTATTTAATACTATAACTGACCATAAACCTCTTTTGGGAATAGTAAATAAGGCAATTGAATCTGTATCTCCAAGATTGCAAAGACTGACAATAGGATTATTGAAATACGATTTTACCTTAAAGTATTTACCGGGGAAAGATATGTTTGGTCCAGATACTTTATCAAGAATACCACTAAATACTGAAAAAACAACTGATATTTTGGATGATTTTCAAGTTAGAACAATTATTATAATGGCTTCAGATGAAAAATGCAATGATATATTAGGAGTACCTACAGGGACACGTTATCCGTTAGGACAATTAGGTCATGTCCTACGGGCCACTAAAGGATGAAAGGAATTTTTTGTGATTTCCGCAGAAACAGACCTAATATAAAATATAAATGCCCACTATATTAAAAATATCGACTTGTTTAGTAGCAGGACTAGCATATGTTTCAATACTCTTTAATTCTTATAATTCACACTGCACAAGCACATTTGGTTTGGCCAGAGTGAACTGCCTGACGTCACGATGCTCAGGCATCGCTCCGCTCGCCATTGAGCATCAATCCATAACACAACCTTAAGTCACCGAGCTGCGCTGACTTGTCGTCGCGTGGCAACTGGCAACGACTACAGCAGGAACCTGTTAGTGTTTGCGCTGCTTTGCCAAATTGTAAGTTTCTTTGAGCTTCTTCTGGAGCATCTAGGGACCTGAGCAGTGTCTTAAGCGTCCATAGTGTACCACGAAGTCGTGCCTTGTTGTTGTTGAGCTTGTAGGACATGCACAGGCAACGTGGTACGAATTTTTCTCAGAGTTGCAACCCTTTATGCATCTCTTCTTCGTTAATGGATTTGATCCCAAGCCATGCAGCTGTTCTTCCGGAGCACCCATCAGTTCACTTTTAGTCTCCAGCATCCATATGTGGTGATTGGTAGGCTGGGAACTCAATGCAATCATTTTCTTTTAGGACGTTCCCACCATATAGCATGTTTTGTGACCATTCTTGTTCCATCATTTGGTAGTACCTCTCTTTGATTTTACCGGATACTACTTGGCAACATTTTTTGTCTTCATATTCTGGTTAGTAGTTTGAAATCGTCTGAATCATTTTATTTATCCCCATAAAAAAGAACAATCACTCATGAAAGGCCATACCAAATAATTGACCTATGGGCCAGAGAAAGGTTAAAGCGTCACTGGTGGTGCAGTACCTACCTACTAATGCAGATCCAGAATCTGTTCCAGTAGAATATTATCTAAGAAATTGTTGGCCTAATCGAATGTCTTCAGTTAAACAAGAAGCAAAACCATATTACCAATAATAAGGATGAAATTTTTGAATTGGATTGATTTTTATTTAAAGGTAATAGACTATATAATACCAAAAGATCATAGACTAAATGATCATTGGACTAGATGTATTAAATAAACAAGGGATTATTTCATGTCAGAAAAAAGCTGAAAATTCAGTGTTTTGGCCTAATATCAACGAAACTATATCAAACATGATTTCATCTTATTTAACCTGCTCAAAATATTCAAGATCCAATGAAAAACAACCTTTACAACAGCATCAAGTAGATACCACAATTGCCTTGGGAGAAAATAGGTATAGATTTTGTTTATGCAAGTAAAGGGAAGAGATTATTTCGTTGTCTGTGACTATTATTCCAAATGTATTGAACTAATACCATTTATTAAGTGTTTTTAAATCTCATGATTTACAAATGACAATAATGTCAGATAATGATGGGAAAGATTTTCAAGAGTTTTTATGTCAGCACGATATCACTCATATAACATCTAGTCCAAAATACAGTCAGTCTAATGGATTAATTGAGAGGCATATAGAAAATATAAAAGGTATGATAGTTAAATGCCCCAGAAAAACATCCCTATATTATTGTTATGGAATATATTGGTTGGGTACAGTTTCTTGAATCACCAAGGAAGAAAGTTTAGAACGGACTTACTTTGCTCAAGGAACAAATTAAAACCAAAATTTAATACTGAACAACATATTGGAATGTTACATGCAAATCTAGAACGAGATCAGCACTACTACAATGCAAACAAAAAACCACTCGCTCCATTATCTGAAAGACCAGTAATGATTCCACAGTCTGTAAGGAAGTGAGTATCTGGTGAAGTTCTTAATGAAGACAAAAATCCCAGTCTGAGGATGGTGGTATGTTTTATAGAAGAAATAGATATCAACTTCGTCCACGTTCCACTACCAAATAATGTACTGTTGAATTCTCCCACTAGAACTGGTGAACCCCAGTACCTAATGAAGTTTGGAATAATTTTAAAATTGCAGTTACGGTCGAATTTATAGTCGTTCCTTCAGGTTTCCGCGGACCTTAGGGGAGCTGTACAAATACAAGAAAGGAGACAAATATCATAGATAGTAAGCAAGTATTGCAAGCCTTAAATAAGGTGAAAGTAACATCTAAATTAATCCTGGAGTGCCACCAGACATTAGAGACGATCCCAAAAGAGAATACGCAGTCATGGTGTCGTGGTTTAAAAGCCACAGTGGCAATCTAGGAAACGAAAGAGTATAGATACTGTAGCACGCACTGAAGCAAAATACCTTTTATGCCGTTGACTAGCAAAACTTATTGTCCAGCTCTCATGAGTACAAGAGAGTCTATTATGAGGGCGCGGTGTCCAATGGCCATAATTAGACGGTACTCCGCTACCACACTATTGATCTATTTTAGTACTGTCGGCTGGCTCAACGAGTAACACTCTAACGGCGGATAGAATTGGCCCACTAAAGAGGCGATGCCGTAAGACCAAATCTCTATCTATCTATAATAGCTCCTCCAAAGAACTAGAAAAGGTAGAAAGTTCGACTCATTCTCAAGGCTAAATAGTGATTTGCAATCGCAAGTCTGGACCTTTTTTTTATTGTTATTTTTCTTCATATACGATCTACCATAGAAATACATTAATAATTACCTACATTATTCGTGCAAACCCTTTTTTATTGTAAAAAAATTATTAAAGTTGAAACACCCTACACGTGTTATGCGCGGTATAATCACAATCAAAGAAGCATAAACCTATGTAGAGTAATTATGGCGGAAAAACCATGGCTGCATTTTACCAAAGTTTAATTACCGCCAGTTTAATTTATTTGTATTGTATTTTTACTTTTCTCTGGTGTGAAAGTAATTTCATAACGTAGAAAAATGAGAACCTTGTAGTAGAAGAAGAATCTTTTTTCTTGCCTGCATGGGATATTAATGATATAGCTTTTATTTTTCTCACACATAAGTAGTCAATAGGTTATTAGGTAATTTATTTATGCCTACAGCATAGAAGAATTTCGATTACCTATATCTTACATACATACACATTTTATTATCAGGCTTGTTTAATGAATATATATTTGTTGAAAATTCGAAGACTTTTACAGGACTGTGATTGTGATAAAAAGTAGGGAGGTACCTATTAATTTTTGGAGATACTGATCTACATTTTTGTCAGTCTTCTTTCGAAGGGGTTAATAAGTGAGACGATTGATTATTCATTTATGATAATGATGTTGCGGCCAAGATAATAAATAATAATAACGGCACATTATATGGCAACTTATAACATACAGCTTTACCCATCACTTTTACTTTTCCGTTACACTGGTCAGCAGCTGGGTCATTATATCAAAATGTCTTTATCGACAAAAGCCAAAAAAAACCTGTCATTCCTTAATTATTTAGGCAGATCCTGAATGATTAAACATGCTTCAGGTGTAAATGCCCAAAAAAAGATGTACCTACTTGCGAATGAAAAGAAAGGGACCCTGGTATTACTTTCCTTGGCATGTGCACGGCTCATTAAAGTGGCGCGTGGTACTTTCTTGGTAGATAGGTACTTTATAACTACCAAAACATGCAGCTGCTTTAATGCCCATCAAAATGCAGTTAGTTACAGGAAGCGATTTATTTAGTTTTACTTTTTAACCAGTTGTTATTATATTTATTCAATAATATTTTTTTAATAATATTAATACCTGACTAGTCATATTTTTTCTCAAGAAAATTTCAGTATTTCTATCAATAATTTATCGTTTTCTACTTTCCCAGCTAGCTATAAAATCCAATCAGTCTCCAACATAATCTTATAGCCAACTGGCGAACATAACTCACATCACCGACGATGCGATGGCCTTTTACCTCTCCAAGGAAAGGTCGTACCACCAGCATCGGCAGCGAAGAACATCTTCTGCGGCCGGTTTCCTATGGGGAAAGGGAAATTTGCATCCCCCGGGGGGATGGCTCGGGGCACATCTTCGACGGATCATCGAAGAAGCCGACCTGCGGTAGTCCATGTCGTCGTGCTCGACTGGATTGCGAGCTCGTATTGCACAAACGATAGCGGTCGTAGAAGAAGAAGAAGGTCTTCTTTTGGCGCGGTACTTTTGAATTTTTTGGTGGACTTTTGTGTATTTTTTTTTAGTGATTTGTGTGATTGATTTTGAGAGCGGCAAGTAAGTATTTGTTTTTTTTTATTAGGAGGTTTGGCAAACACAAGAAGTTGAGGCAAATTTATAGTTTTGCAATTTTACTTATGATTTTGGAAGGATCAAGAGGTAAATTATTGGTCCTTGATTTTTTTTGGAATTTTCAATTTTCGTCAGTATAAAGAAATCTTTTCAAAATCAAATTCAAAGTTATCTAGCAATTATTCTGCTCTAATTACAAGAGAATAATGAATCCTACACAAATTTGAGATTTTAATTCTTGTTTAAGTCAATTGTTGTTTCTAATGCTCATCATTTACTTAACAAAATAGTGCACAATAACTAGGTACTGATACAATCTTTTGTTAGTTCTTCTAATTTATTAATTTATATTTGATTCCACAATTTATACTAATCAGGGCCGGTTTATTCACCTTCTGATAAACTGTTGATTGATATTAGAATTTGAAGAAATTGGTTTTCTCATCCAATTTTGCAACTGTGCAATTCGCTTTACGTATAAAGATATCTGATGAATATTTGAAAGGATACTTAGTTACGATTTCCAGATTATTCCTGGAAGTTCTTATCAAAATGTTGTCGACATTGCAGGAATATACTTTTGCGTTATCTTGTAATAATAGTATATTATATACCTAGGTAGAGAAGTTGGTCCTTATATACCGAGCGCTTTTATAAACCGAGGCGCTCGCGCCGAGGTTTATAATGAGTGAGGTATATAATGACTTTCTCTACCGAGGAATATATAGAATTTTTTTTACTACTGCTAGTAGAAAATGAAAAATTTGTTTAAAATCTGTGCTCCAATTATTTTTTTTGAACGCCCTCTTGAAAGTGCTGCCCTCTATCAACAGCTTATGATAACTTCCTATGTACCTACAGAAACCTGTATTTTTTTTCAAATTGACGTCTGGAAATGAAATTGAACCAATAGAAACATGACAATATCCTTGCGTCATGACGTCATTTTCATTATTAACCTAGGTATTTTTTCATTATTTTCATTATTCACCTAGGGAGAGAAATTCAATTTTTTCCTAGAAAAATACATTGAATAATGACAATTTCTCAGGTTAATAGTAAAAAAAAGATAATATTTTACTAGGAACTTTTATATTGTCATCTTAAACTAGGTGACCAGATCAGGTATGATTAAACAAGAAACAATAATTACTAGTATACCTACGTTTATGTATCATGTAACATATTTCTCTTTGAAACTTAAATTAAATGATTTGGAGGTCTCTACCTCTGTAACCTGATTTTGTTCTGTAAAACTTAACAGGTGATTCGCAATTCCCTTGAATTTTTCTTTTTTTGTGTACAACTAGAGAGCGAAAATATCTAAATGATAAACATTTGCAGAACTTAAAACTTAAAACAAAAACAAGCTAAGATAACAAAAGCAAGAAAAAGTTATTAAGCTATAGCGTTTTTAACTGAACTCAGATTTGTATTAAAAAGGTCCAAATGTAAGAAATGAATATTATAGTTCGTAAGTAGTCTAGTCGTCAGACAGTTTTGCCCATAATTTGTTCTATGGACTGGTTGGAAAAAAAGTTCCCTCTGTCTAGTTTTTCTGCCAGGAAATGGATTTCTTGTAAAAGCTCTGGTGAACAAGTAATACCTACCACATATCAGCTTATACAAGATGATCAATTGTGCATTCTGACGTCTATTTTCCAGGCTAGTTAAGCGTTAACCCACACAACAGCAAACGAGTGCTGTAGTGCACATCCTGATAAGGAAATCTTAGTTTGTATAACAAGTATTTTACAAATCTATTCTGAAATCTTTCGATCCTCTGGATGTGACAGTTATAGTTAGGTGTCCAAAGTATACTACAGTACCTATTCCAATGTTGACCTTATCAGGCTGTAGTAAAGTGTGGTTATTGCTTTGATGTTATATATATCTCTGGTATTTCTCTTGATAAAGCTTGCACTTCTTGGGATTAAGTTTCAACAGGTTACTGTTACACCAATTAGCAAGTCTATCCATGTCGAGTTGGAGAGGGATGGAATCTGAGTCCACAGTAGCAAAAAGATTAAGGTCATCGGCGTACAATATACACCGTGAAGTTTTGAAACAACCAACGACATCATTGACAAAAAGCACAAATAAAATTGGCCGAATGGTGATCCTTCAGGCACACCGGATGGCACTGAAAAATCATGTGAGAGTACACCGCAAAGGTTTACACGTTGTTGGCGCCCAGTGCCCAGTTAAGTAGGAGCGAGTCCAGAGTCCAGGACAAGAAATGTTCATTAAAACCGATGCATGATAGCTTTCTCAGTAGAATCTTATGACAGACGCTTTAGATAACATCTGTGTAGGTAGGTATATGACGTCAACTTGCTTCCCAGACTCAAAAGCAACAGTTATAGGACTTGTTGATAACAGGCCATGTTTGTAGCCGTCGATTTGCTTTGGCAGAAACCATATTGTTCATTAGCGATATGTGATTCTTGTAACAGGATTAAATGTCGTCAGTCAGTATGGATTCCATTATTTTGGGAATATGGGATAAAAGAGACATCCCTCTATAGTTTTCAATGTTGGTATGTTCTTTCGATTTATATATAAGTATATATATAGGGATGAGATTTGATATTTTCCATGTTGTAGGAAAGATTTCTGTGTCGAAAGAAAGCTGAAACAGTTGCTTAAGGGGGTTTAAAAAAGTTGAGCAGCACTCTTTTAAAAATATAGGTGATAGTCCGTCGGGTCCCGGACTCTTGGAAATGTCCAAATTAGGATTTTCTCCTTTATTTCTCCAGCTGTGAACGCATGATCTGACAAGTTTGCTCAAAAATCGACGAAGTGATTTCCGTTAGTATGATCAGAAAAACAGCTTTTGAAGAGTTTGGCGAATAGTTCGGCAATTTGTCTTGGATCAGAAGTTTTGATATGTTGCGTCTGAGATGGCAGACCTGCATCCCTTCTAAGTGACTTGATGTAAGACCAGAAATGCTTAATGTTTGAAGTGTTGAGTCTTGGTTACAGGAAGCAGTTAGCACATGTCTGTATGATATCTAACATTGCGTCTTGCGATTGAGTAGGCTCTGTATTACAGAGCGATTGAGTAGGATCAGATTACAGAGTCTGTAATCTGATCCTGACTGCGATCTCCTATACTTCTTATATAGTTTATTCTTATGACCGATTATTTTCTTTAGTTCACAGCTGAACCACTTTGGATACTTGTTGTTTCTAATTACTTTCTTGGCATATTACTTCGTAGAAGTGAGAGACGGCAACGTTTGGATCAGAAAGTTGCCACAAATTTTCCCAGTTAATGTTGTTTAAAAACTCGTTGAGCTGTGCATAGTTTGCTCTCATGAAAAGATGAACACTGATGGGATTGTTCTAGTGGTGGGTGGTTATCGATCACAGTACAAAGGAGGAAACTACTTTTTTTTTATGCCATGGGAATCCACTTCACTGGCAAAAATTGAATCGAGACTTCTATTGTTGCAATTCTTGATGCTGTTCATTTGCTCTAGTTCCATAAAAAACATAGAATCGATGAGTGTTTGCCCGGCCGCAGTGCGAGTGGCTTCGGGAAACAAGGTGTCATCTTCCATGATCCAACTTAAATAGGAAAGGTTGAAGTCTCCAAAGAACTGGAATATGGCGTTTCTCTATCTGTCGCTAAGTGATTCATAGGTGGTATAATATGGACCACCCCTATCTTTTAAAATTATCTTTAGTCCAAATCGATCTTGGAGCTGGATGTTTTTGTAACAATCATAATTACTGGATCCTATTTATCATCCTTTCAATAAGTTACATTATCACCTTACATACATCATATAATTTTTCCGATTTTAGTGCTTTTATGTCAAAATTTCATAATGAATGTTGATTTTCGCTTGACTCTGACAATATACCCGACACAAACAAAATGGTATCCGTAATTTTGATTATTATCGGCTCTTGATTCGTTGAATAATTTCTCTACAGGAAATGAAGAGCCTGATTTGTATTCGCCTCTCGAAAAACTATCCAGCCAATCAAGAGCCGGTAATAGTCCAAATTTAGATTATTATCGGCTCTTGATTCACTGGATCATTTATCTGAAGGAAATCAAAAGTCTTGTATTTCTATATTGGCCTCTTGAAAAACTTTCCAGCGAATAAAAAACCAGTGGTCGAAAATTTGATTATTATACCTAACGGCTCTTGATTCATTAGATAATTTCACATTATCACTATTACTACAACATGCTTCAAGAAGCTTTTCTATTATTTTCGTCAAAGCTACTTCTGGTTCTGTCTAACAGTGCATACTGGATGGATCTCTAGGAAACTCTGTGATTGTGTTTTAGTTTTCTCTTTGGGTAGTAACCTACTCCGCTACTTTGTTGGTTGATAAATTCACTGTTCTGGATTCAGTTATCAGCCTAAATAGCAAGGATGGGTATGGAATTTCTCAAAATAAATAAGTTGCAGAGATGATAGGAGGAAATTTGTTCGGAAAAGTCCCTCGGAGATTTCGGATTCGTTAGGTACCTGCCTGACGATGCACTTTGATAGTAGATTGTAGATTGTATTTGAACTCATTATAGCTTGTTCTCTGAAGGAAATCAAGAGCCTGATTTCTATTGGCCTCTAGAAAAACTATCCAGCCAATCAAGAGACGGTAATAGTCCAAATTTTGATGATCATCAGCTCTTGATTCGCTAGATAATTTATCTGAAGAAAATCAAAAGCCTGATTTCTAAATTTGCTTCTTGAAAAACTGTCCAGCGAATCAAAAGCCAAAAGTCAATATTTTGATGAGCCTCTTGAAAAACTCTCCAGCCGCCGGATCAAAAAATAATATATATCGGCTCTTGATTAGTTGGATAAGTTGCCTAAAGGAAATCCAGACCTGATTTCTATTCGCCTCTCAAAAAACTATACAGCCAATCAAGAGCCGGTAATAGTCCAAATTTTGATTAATATCGGCTGTTGATTCGTTGGATAATATTTATCTGAAGAAAATCAAAGGTCTGATGTCTA